GGAAGGTAACTGCTTCTTTTGGAATTATCTCTCTCTTTCTCAATCAATCTCTGTCAATCTCAATCACAATCTCTCTCACACACACATTATATGGGATTCTTACCATGCTTGTAGCTTTTTATGGTTTTCTATACACTTCTTGTCCTCTCCCCCATTTTCTTTTACAGTCAGGGTTGAATTGCCCAAACTGTGCTAACAATTATCAAGCCTTATCTCACTCCGTCCTTGGCCACTCTTCCAACTATGGAATGCAGAGATAGTTTTCTCTTCAGTCTGAGTTCTAGCTAACATTTAGCTACCCCAGACTAGATTCCTTTGGTTGCTGACTGGCATTTATGAGGTCCAGTATTCATTGCCTCTCAGGGTTATTCACAGGGTATGGCCAAGAAAGGTCAAGATGATAGCTGTGATGATGCCAATGCACTCAACCTGCTTTTTATGTATATCACCCCACTTCAATCACAGTCTTGAGATGCTCTGACCTGAGCTGGTGCTGGGATTTTGACATCTCTTAGTTCCTGGGTTGGGGTAGGTTTATTACCAGCATTAGCTGGCTGCAGGTGTTGCCATGTAAGCATGTGTGCCTGTTAGTGTTCACAGCTGTTTTTGTCTCTTTGATCTGTTCACAGTTCTCAGCCACTTGTCTTCTGAAACAGCTCCTGTCATATTCCACCTCCAGTCACCCTCTCAAAACTGGCTCTGGCCCCATGCATTCTCCAATTTGCCTCCGTCCTTATTGCCTTTGATCAGCCCAGTTCTCATCTAATTCTCCAATGAGTGTTTTCTCCTGATACAACCACAATCATATCTGGGTGTGGGGTGCTTCTTTTGCAGCTGGAGCACAGGCTTGGTTCAGCTAATTTGGCTGCCTCAAAACCCAGGAGGGAAAGTTAAAAAAAAACCAAAATGAGAGTCTTGCACAAACTGTGGTAAGGTCATCCTTCCAAACTGCTTTTTGTTATCACTGTAAATCAGCACTTGGCTTTGTACTTCCCCCGCTTCTGAAAGAGTGAGAAAGAAAGGGCAAACATGATTATAAAAAGTTTTCCTCGTTCAAGGCTCTTTTGGCATATAAAGGATGCCTATCGAATAATTAAGGTCATCAGGATTGCAAAATCATGCAAAAATCAATCCTCTACAAAGGAAATTGCATATATCCAAACCACAGCTAAGCTACAGATTAAGCATAAATAAAATATAGCAAGATTTAGATTATTTTTCCAATAAACCAAACTATACGCTGTGAGCAAGGCCAAAGGAGAAAGAAATTAACTGCCCTGGAGATTTCATTTACTCCTCCCTCCCAAACATTCCAAATAAGTCTTGCCCTTAATGTGCAGTAATATATAGCTTTCCCTTTAATAAACAAGTGATTAGATGCATATGCTTTGCTTTGGAAGTCAATAAATATACATTTTGTGTTACAAAACAATTCTCTAGCAGCTAAGCTGAAGATCTAGGACTCTGATTATAGAACATAGAACATAGAATCAGAGGACTGTAAGGAACCTTGGAGATCTTCTAGCTCAAGGAAGCTTATATCATCCTGATCAAGTTGTTGTCCAGTTTATTCTTGAAAACCTCCAGCAATGGAGCACCCACAATTTTAAGAGGCAAGCTATTCCATTGATTAATTGTTCTCAGTGTCAGGAAATTTCTCCTTAGTTCTAGGTTGGACCTCTCTTTAACAAGCTTCCATCCATTACTTCTTGTCCTGTTACTTTGGAGAATACACCGATCCCCTCTTCTCTGTGACAGCCCCTCATATATTGGAAGATGGCTATCATGTCACCCCTAATTCTTCTCTTTGAAAGGCTAGACATATCTAGCTCCCTCAATTGTTCATTTTACTATTTAACCTCCAGACTCCTTATCATCTTTGTTGTTCTTCTCTGCACACTTTCTAGGGTCTCAGCATCTTTTTTATATTTTTGTTACCAGAACTGGATGCAGTATTCCAAGTGTGCACTATAAAGCAGTACTATCACTTCTTGTGCTCCAGATGCTATTCTTCTCTTGATGCAGCCTAGGACTGCATTGGCTCTTTTGGCAGCTGCAGCACGCTGTTGCCTCACTGCTCACTGCTGTGGTGGTCCACTGGGACACCTACAATAGTGGCCAAAATTGTGGAAATCTTTTGGGAAAAGTGTACAGTAGAAATGCCACCTTTGGTTAAGTTTCCACCAATTTTTCTTCTAATTTCTTTATAACTGTAGCCTTGTTTACTTAATAATACTATTTTACATCGTTTTCTGGGCAACCAGTCAACTCTTTGCACCATTAGTTTAATTTTATTACGTTTTACATGCTCACTAAATGAAAGAACACAAAAAAACCCAACCAACTTGATAGCGATCACATAACACACTGACAAATGTCCTCCTCTCAGCTTTGATACATGACATCAATAACTGAACCGTACTGTGATCTGATTGGCTCATTGCCAAAACAAGATGACACCTGATTGGTTCTCTAAACACTCATGCTCATTGGCAACAATCAGATGAAGGAAAGCTACCTGATATCAACCTAAGCAAGTTATGCTTCCTTTTTCTGGTTATTTGGCTATAACTTTTCATAGAATATAGTACAGATAATTGAACAACCTTTGTTGTATTACATTCTTGATTAAATTATCTTTCCATTGATATATAGTTTTATGGTGCTACTCCCCAAAAAGTGGTGTTATTAGCCATCAAATCTCAAAAATACACTTTTCCCAAAAGGTTTCCACAATTTTGGCCACTACTGTAGGTCTCTCTCACAGTTACTATTGTTGAACCAGGTACCACTATTCTGTACCTGTACATTTGGTTTTTCCTTCCCAAGTGCAGGACCTTACTTTTCTCACCACTGAACTGCATCTTAGTGGATAGGCCCTGTTGAGATTCTTACGAATCTTGAATCTATCTTCTAAAGTGTTAGTAATTCCTTCCAGTTTGGTGTCATCTGTACATTTGATGAGTTTCCCTATTTGCTCATTTAGATTATTTATGAAAATGTTGAAGAGTACTGGGCCGAAACCAGAAGTTTCAGATGCTCAGCTGCATGTTTCACTCCATATAAATGTAGTTCCATTGAGGATTACATACTGGATGCAGTTGGTCAATCAACTGCAAATCCATTTGGTGGTGGTACTGTCTGTTCCATATTGTTCTGCCTTATCTAGAAGTAGGCTGTGATCTGTTTTGGCAAATGCCTTATTAAAGTCCAAGTATATTATGTCCACAGCTTTTCCCTGATCCACTAATTTAGTCACTTTATCAAAGAAGGCAATAAGATTTGTCTGACATGATCTGTTTTTAACAAAATATACTGGTTTCTAGCAATCACCTTGTTCATTTCTAGATGCTCACAAATCTGCCACTTGATTATCTTCAGGATTTTCCCAGGTATTGATATCAAACTGACTGGGCTATAATTTCTGGGATCTAGTTTGCTCCTTTTGTAGATCAGAACCATATCAGCTCTTTTCCAGTCTTCTAGTAGTTCCCCTGTGGTACAGGAGCTTTGAAAGATTACATTCAGTGATTCCTAGATTATGTTTGCTCACTCCTTCAGAACCCTGGGATGTAAACCATCTGGCTCAGGTGATTTGTATTTTGTAAGGGATTCTCTTACTAATTCCTTGCCTATTTTGACTTGTATACCTGTTCTGTCTCCCTCGTTGCTGCTTTTGATATGTTGGATTTTTTCTTCCTTTTACCTAGAACAGATGCAAAGAAGGAATTAAGCAGTTCTGCTTTATCGCTGTCTATCACCTTCTTGCCTTCTGTTCCCATTAGTTAGATAGCTCACCTATAATTTCCTTGACTTTCTTCTTGTTCCTTACATATTGAAAGAAACTTTTTTAAAAATTATTTTTGGCATTAGTTGCCAGCCTTAGCTCATTCTGGGCCTTAGCTTTCCTGACTCCCTCCTTAACAGATTCAAGCTATTTGTTGGTATTATGTTTTAGTTATGTACCCCTCTTTCCATTTTTTTGTATTTGACTTTTTTGTTCTTCATATTGTAAGAGCTCTTTACGCAACCATGCTGATCTTGTCTGGTGTCTTTTATTTTTTCTTTCTTTGGTATTATTTTTGCTTGGGCCTTTATTATCTCATTTTCACAGTTTCCCAAGAATCTTGAACTCTTTTTCCTTTTAAGATTTCTATCCATGGAATCCTTCCTAGTCTCTCTCTTATCTTGTTGAAGTCAACTCTCTTAAAGTCTAAAATACTAATCAGACTTAGTTCAGTTACTTGTGGTTGCATTATGGTGAATTCAACAATGACATGGTTACTCTCCCCCAAAGTTCCTACAACTTTTACTCTCTTAGCCATTTTATCCCTGTTAGTAAGAATAGCTGTCCCTCTAGTTCCCTCCTCTTCCTTTTGTATAATAAAGTTGTCAGGCATGTAAAAAACATGTTTGATCTCCCACTCACTGAAGAGTTGAATTCATCTTAGTTGATGTCATGGTATTTCATCCTAGTTGATGTCATAGTAGTAAAGTCCCCCACTGCTACACTGCTGTGTTTCCTCCACACCTCACCTAATTGGTTAGCAAAGAGTTAATCTATTTCCTCTGGTTGGTTAGGTGGCCTGTAATATAGACATATAGCAAAGTCATTTGTTTTTCCTTACACTTGCCTTCTGCATACTGTGCACCGGGATAAAAATGTTACTACTTCTTCTTTGGATTCCTCATGGTAGTAGAAAGTCTTGGATAGTGAGGCAAGGAGGCAGCTTGGTGGTTGCAAGTGGTGAGTAGAGGCAAGAGAAGAAGCTAAGAACATTTGTGTGTGTGTGTGTGTCTCCAGAAAGTTGATTATCCCATTTGTTACTATATTAGTACATCATTGTAAAATGGAGATAGAATATATCATCTTGATCTCTCTTTTTGTAGGTCTAGTGAGTCCCTTGGAGGTCTTCATGAATACCAGGAGTGTTGAAGTTGCTCGGGGTCAGACGGCCATCCTGCCCTGTACTTTCACCACTAGTGCTGCACTCACTAACCTTAATGTCATCTGGATGGTCACGCCTCTTTCCAATGCCAACCAACCTGAACAGGTACCAAGTCCTACTGAAAAAACGGATGAGCTCCCTTTTGCCTTTCTTTTTTGTAGGATTATTTCTGCCACACTTCTCCTAGTCAAACTGGAAATTTTCAACTGTGGAAAAGGCTACACCAGACTTACCTCTACAACAGTGGTGGCGAACCTATGGCACGGGTGCCAGAGGCGGCACTCAGAGCCCTCTCTGTGGGCACGCATGTCGTCGCCCCAGTCCTAGGCCTTCAGCTGGGTTTTATAAAACCTTTTCTCTTTAGGCCTCTGTCACCATGTGCAAAAAAAAAAAAAAGGTTCAATCAGTCAATTTCAACTTCTGACGCGAAAAAAAAAGTTCTTGCAAAGTTAGAATTGATCGATTGAACTTTTTAGTCCCACCCAGTCTGCCGTTACCACTGCAGCCATGCCCACCCAATGGGCCACGCCCACCCAATTGGCCACACCCAGCCAATGGGCCACACCCACCCGGCACTCGCCGATGCATAAGTGGGTTTTGGGTTGCAGTTTGGGCACTCAGTCTCTAAAAGGTTCGCCATCACTGCTCTACAATATATCAGATGAATAAAAGGAATTCTCAGTCTTGTGTTTCCTTAAGCTTTTATATGAATCTTGGGGTGATAGCTTTATTTATTTTTTTGTCAGACTATTTCAGGATATTTTGGAAATGAAAAAATACAAGTGAGGGTTAATGACTCTTTCAAATCCTTAAAACTAGACAATCCATAGGCACCGAAATTTCTCCCAGTTTGAGGGAATAGAGAACATTGCAGAAATCCATATTTGCAGCTCAGCGCATGATCATTGGTCTTATGATTTCAGCCATGCGGTACATAGTAGAGCTCTTTGTAAGGAAAAAAAAACATGGAGTGATTTATTACTTTCTGACACGGTAACTAGATCATCATATTACAAGTAGCAAAAAATATTACAAGCTAGAAAAATATGTAGTTATTTCATTACTTTTTTATTGTTGAACCTCTTTTAATCTGTTTACTGATTCGTTCACCTTTCATTTTATTTCACAGCTGATATGGAATTATGGAAATATTTTTTATTATTCTTATTTATTTCCATATCTTTTTTTTTTTTTTTTTTGTTACAAAAACCTAACCAGTTTTTTCCTGTCTGTAACTTCAGGCAGGTGCTATCATGCATGCTACTGGTGGGGAACTGAAGGAATTCCAAATAAAATCCTGTTTCTTGTTTGTTTCCATTGAAGCCATGCTGGAGCAGCCTTTACAGCAGGGGAGGGCAATTTTCCCAGGGTCAGGAGTCACAACTTGCTCCCTCAAGCAGCTGGAGGGCTGCAGGTGACATCACTAGGTAGGTGGTGAAGTCACAGAAAGGATTACCACGGGTGTACCCCAATCCTGCTGTATAAAGTACAGGGCCTGTTGTAGCCTTTGGCTATGCCATAATGGTTACAGACAGAGGACGATATTCTTTTAAAAATTAGCACCATGCCTATAAAATTTCAGTTAACCACAGCAAAGAGCTCTAGAACACTTTCATTATTAATAGAAATTAAATTTGTTTTGTGAATTATTCCTTTTCTCCAAACACACAGTGCTATTACAGATGTAAGACAAACATAAGAATTTTTTTCAGAATAGATTTCTTCAAAGTTTATTGCTATTAGTTTTCTACTCTTGCATGTCATACTAGGTGCCTTGTGAGCACAGTATCTTAAATTTTATTGAGGGTTCTTTTTTTCAGTTAGATAAAAGTTCCTATATTTTGCAAGGGAAGGAGATCCATACAAAAGATGTCATCAAATTGAAACTGTTAAAAACATTGACAAAACGTCTTACAGTGTTATATAACTTCCTCATATAGAACTTTGGAAAATGTTAGCCTGTTTTTCCCATAACAGCAGACTGTCAAACTGCTGCCCTATATTCCGCATGCATGTAGACTGTCACCTGCTATCAAATTGGCTCATATGATCAATCAATATCTTCATGACGAAGAAGCCAACCACTGCCATCTAGTGGTCCTTTGGATTTTACAGCTTGCCCAATTTGCCAGCAGTTTCATTTGCCTTTTTAATTTACTTATAATATTTTGTTGAATTGAGCAGTTGTAGAATTTTCATTATTGCATGTTTCTATTTTAATATATAGAGCTAAAAGGTTATTATTATACATTGTATGTACTTTTATTACAAAAAGTTTGGTTTTGTTTATTTCTTGTGAGATTGGCTTCTACAGTATCTTTTTGTGCTGTATACACAAACACCAATTTTACATTTATATTTCCCTAATTATATCTATATAATTGTGTGCACACTTTTTGATTATTTTATTCTACTTTTCTGTATGCATTTTTGTAAAAAGTGATCTTTGACCATAAATAAAGTAAAACAAATCAGCATGAAAAATTATCCATACCAGAAATAGAAGAAATGATGCACAAAATGAGGATCCAAAAACTCAGGTTTATGCTACACTCTGATGTATTTTTAAATCACATCGTACAGGTGAGATATTGTAATTAGAGCATAAAGAGTAAGTTTTTTCTTACTCCAACCTTTAGTTTGCATGATATGGTGCCTTGTCTTTTTCAGGTTATTCTTTACCAGGGTGGTCAGATTATTGATGGTGCAGCCCAGTTTCATGGGCGAGTGGGGTTTGCAAAAACAATGCCAACCACCAGTGCCTCCATCTTCATCAACAATACCAAGCTCTCAGATACGGGAACTTACCAGTGTTTGGTGAATAATCTACCAGACCGAGCAGGACGGAATATTGGAGTCATTGGGCTCAATGTCTTGGGTATGATCTTTCTAAAATGGATGATAGATTTAAAATATGGAGGTGAACTGATGCACAACTTTTTTTTTAATTTAACTTGAAAATTTTATTTTTAATTGTAAACAAGACTCTGGAACAGAAACTGCGGCCATGTCAGTGGTCCATCAGTTCTGCACAAAAGTACTAGATAATTATAATTTACTTTAACTCTATGATTCTTCCCAGTTCATTCATATCTAAAATAACACAACAGTAAAACAATGGAAAGGGGTTAGAAGTCATAATTAAAATTGGTCTCTCTACAAAACTGCTACTAGCAACTCAACTCTATGCATAAGTCTTTTTCATTACAGCCACCCCTCATTTAGTGACTACCTTGGTTAGGACCATTCACAAATATGAGATAAATAAAAAATCATTTTTCTGCCCTATATGTGCAATTACTAGCAAATTTCAGGTGCCTAAAGCCTGCCAGAGGGTCCTAATAAACTAATTAAGATCACAGATCTGAGCTTGTTAACACAGTTAGCACTTTTTAGAGAAGTGCTGTCTGAGGAAAAAAGCGGGAAGAGATAACTTCTTTAACCAATCTCGCTGTCCTGTGAGGGAGCGAAAGGGGGGGCGTGTTACTAATTTAACAACTGCAGCGATTCCTTTAACAACTGGGGCAAGAAAGGTTGTAAAATGGGGCAAAACACACTTAGCAATTGTCTCACTTAGCAACAGAAATTTTGGACTCAATTGTGGTCGTAAGTTAACGACTATCTGTACTGGGGAAAAAGTTGTATAGGAAAAGGCAGGGATAAATCCATCAACTATCTCCTTGCCAAGATAATCACCTGTCTGAGATGGTATAGGGTTTCCTGCCTGAGCAGGGGGTTGGACTAGATGACCTCCAAGGTCCCTTCCAACTTTATTATTATTATTATCTTGTCAATTATATTTGTTGCCAATATGTTGTTCTCCTTAAAAAAATCCAACTGGATTTCTTTTTCTTAAAATGTCTTTTAAATTCACAACTGTCTTAGATGAAAGTGATTTTATTGACACTGCAGCAAGGAAAAAATAGTTCAAACATAAGCATGCACACTTTGTTACAGAAACCCACACCCCAGCAACACCTATCAGATATTAGCATTATGTATCACTTAATCCTTAGTTGTATAATATGTGTGTGTGTGTATGTATACTTTAGATTCACTCAGGGACCAGAATGTCAGAATTCCTAGCATCCTTACCCAACATGTGTATATTTAATATACAGTGCATTCAGAAAGTATTCAGACCCCCTTCACTTTTGTCAATTTTGTTATGCTGCAGCCTGATTGTACATTTATTGAAATTCATTTTTTTCTCATTAATCTATATTAAGTACTCCACAATGACAGTGAAAACAGAATTTTAGAAATGTCTGTAAATTTATTAAAAAGAAAAAAATTGAACTATCACATTGGCATATGTATTCATACCCTTCACTCAATACTTTGTTGAAGCACCTATGGCAGCAATTACAATCTCGAGTCTTTTGGGGTATGATCCGACAAGCTTTGCACATCTGGATTGGGAGATTTTCTGCCATTGTTCCTTGCAAATCCTCTCAAGCTCAGTCAAGTTGGATGACAACTGTCAGACAGCCATTTTCAGGTCCCTCCAGAGATGTTCAGTAGAGTTCAAGTCAGGGCTCCGGATGGGCCACTCTAGGACATTCACAGAGTTGTCTCTAAGCCACTTCTGTGTTATTTTGGCTGTGTGCTTAGGATCGTTGTCAGGTTGGAAAGTGAACCTTCGGTCCAGTCTGAAGTCCTGAGCGCTGTGGAAAAGGATTTCATTGAGGATATCCCTGTACTTTGCTCCATTCAGCTTTCCCCCCAACCCTGACCTGTCTCCCAGTTCCTACTACTGGAAAACACCCCCAAGCTTCATGCTGCCACCATCATGCTTCACTGTTGGGATGATATTGGGCAGGTGATGAGGGTGCCTGATTTCCTCCAGACATAATGTTTAGAATTGAGGTCAAACAGTTCAATCTTGGTTTCATCATACCAGTCTGAAAGTCCTTTTTGCAAACTCTAAGCAGGCTTTCATGTGCTTTGACTGAGGAGAGGCTTCTGTCTAGCCACTCTGCCATAAAGCCCAGATTGGTGGAGGGCTGCAGTGATGGTTGTCCTTCTGGAATTCTGTCCATTCTCCACACAGGATCTCTGGAGCTCAGTCAGAGTGACCATTGGATTCTTGGTCCTTCTCCCCCGATTGCTCAGTTTGACTGGATGACCAGCTCTTAGAATAGTCCTAGTTGTGCCAAACTTCTTCCATTTGAGAATTATGTCCCTGAGCTTTGCAGGCAGTTCCTTTGACTTCATGGCTTTTGCTCTGCTATAGTATGCATTGCCACCTGTGAGGCATTCTATGGACAGGTGTGTGCCTTTCTAAATCATGTCCGATCAAGTTAAGTTACCACAGGTTGACTCCAATCAAGGTGTAGAAATATGTCAGCAACGATCAAAAGAAATGGGAGGCACTAGAGCTAAATTTCAAGTATTGTTGCAAAGGGTCTGAATACTTATGCCAATATGATATTTCAGTTTTTTCTTTTTTAATTTTACAGACATTTCTAAAATGCTGTTTTCACTTTGTCATTATAGGATACTGAGGTTAGATTAATGAGAAAAAAATGAATGTCAACAACTGTAGAATCGAGCTGCAGCATAACAAAATTGACAAAAGTAGGGGGAATCTGAATACCTTCTGAATGCACTGTATCAACCGTCCAGTTTTCTGATTTCTAGAAAAAAATGAGATAGAAGACCCTTTCAACTTTTTCCCTTAAAAGATATATTTTGTAGGTTCTGGCATAAGTGGAACAGAGGTGGATTATGAGAGATTCAAGTTAGCTTCAGATAGTAGAAGATAGGACTGGTTATAGGAGCCAGAAATATATGACCAGATCACTTACAGAAGGCAAAGATTTCTCTCTACTTTTGACTTATTGTGGCACATTTTCAAAAGTTTTTGTTAGTGTTATAACTATTTTTAAACTTTGTATAGTTTATTTTTAGCACTTGCTTAACCATGTTTACATTTGGTGCTTTTAAGAATTTGGTACTTACTTTCTCCATAGTTGTACTATCTTTCTCTATATAGGTAGTAAAATTAAATCTCATACCCTTATCAAGATAATGAAATTTAGCTTTAAAGTAAAGCATTTTAATATTATCTTTATTGTGGAAACTTAGAGAGGACCTTCCTTGTTAGGACAATAATAAAAATACTTAAGCCTACAATTATGACTGAGCTCAATTGCTAAAGATTAACAAGTTGAAAATTACAATAGACTTGAAAAAAGTGACTTCATACCTATTCTCAAAATTATGAGCACCAAACCAAGCCTACAATTACATGATTACATTTTGGGCACTTGGCAACCGGTTCACATTTACGAGTGGCTATAGCATCCTATGGTGACATGTTTGCATTTTGTGAATTTTGCCATTTTCAGGCAAAAAGTGGCAAAAAATCTTTTGCATAAACAGGCTTCAAAGTGACGACCATGTAGTTTGTTAAACAAACATGTGGTTCACTTTAATGATAGATGTAAAAACGGTCATAAAATTGAGTTAGGTCACATGGTGCTTCGACTTACAACCACAGTGCCTTGTGACTACCAGTCCCAATTGTGGTCATAAGATGAGAACTACATGTAGTTACAAAAGTCTTAGCAGGTTACCTTGCCTGTTGCTTCCTTATTTGTCTTCAGCAACTGTATCCTCTCATTTTTTTAAAAAAAAACCTGTCTATATTTGTAAAGATGACAAGAATGTTGAAGAAAAACTACTCTAAATAATCCATGCCATCTTCTATTGTAACAGTTCCTCCATCTGCCCCTGACTGCAGAATTCAGGGTTCTTTGAATATTGGTAGTGACATCACACTGAGTTGTAATTCAGAAGAAGGCATCCCTCGGCCAACTTACAACTGGGAAAGGATGGATAATGTTCCCAAGCTGCCTCCAACATCCATTCAAGGTGACCATTCTATCTTTCTGTTTCGTTTGGATGTTTAACTAATTTTTCTTAATTTATTTTGATGGTAATGTCATACGTTTTGCCCCAAACTGCTGCTTCAGTTACTTTGGCAAAGCACCTGATCCAGGCATGTTATGGAAGAGAAGAAAGCAATTAATGTTGTCAATTAATGCTGATATTATCAATTAATGCTGATAATCTGAATGTAAAAACTCATTAAAAGTAACAAGGAAGAGAAGGGAAAAATCTGTTTTGGATGATTAAAAAGAACCAAGCCTATAAAGCATTGGGTGCCCTCTAGTGGAATTTTAAATATTTTTATGTATGAAATAAAATAGCACACGTTACTTTAAAGTAATGGTGACCAGCTATTTTAACAAAATTGCCAGAAATCCAATGGAACAAATATTGTTATTATAAAATATACTATAAAACATAATAGTTCTATCCTTAATTTTTCTTCTTGCAATATATTTTACAGGAATAGTGATACCAGGCAATCAGGTTCATATAGCTAGGGTGACTGAAACATCATGTAACCCCATAACAACAGGTTATGTGATATCACAAAGGATTTCAGACTTTTGGCAGTGCTTTCTGCCCTCACATGAAATAAATGCTAAAAAATAAAAATAAAACTCTGAAGAGGAGGATTCAAGACAGAAATATCAAAGAATAGATGCATGTTCTTTTGCTTGTTTCAGTTTTTTTTAATCAAAAAGAATCATGTTCACAGAAGTCATAAAAGATTATTGTAATAATTCAATTGTATTGTTATTTTAAATAAGTTTATATTTGGTTGTTTCAAGGACACAGTACGTGATGTTTTAAAAAATGAATGTTCCAAATTTCTAAGTATTTGCAACATAAAACTTTTTTTAAAAAGTTAGAATAGTAATGGTAGATTGTAAATAAGAAGTTTTTGATCAAATCAAGTGAAACAAAGCCAAAAACATAGGGGAGCAATCTGAAATTTCAGGAGAACAGATTGCAGGAACAAAATTTTGATTATTGATCCCATCACTCAGTTGAGATATATTTCTACCCAGTGCTTCTCCTGCTCTCTTCTGTCCCAACCTGTTCTGAAATAACTTTACAAAGTCTTTTTTTTTCTTGAGATGAATTCGGAGGCTCTGTTTGACTGTTAACACTCAAAACTGTTCTTTTGGAACACTGTTGAGTGCATTCCAGACTGAACAGAATCCTCAGCTTCTGTCTGATTAGTCAGCAACATTCCATGCACCCCTTTTTCTGACTAAAAGAGAAAATCAGTCTGAAGCTGTGATGTAACATTGTTTTAGTAGAAAAGAAGTAATATTCTAATGTTGAACAAAACATACTTTGGGAAAAGATAAAGTTGTTTAAATTTGCTAATGCTCATATAAAGAGATTGGTCAGAAGTTGGAATGAAAGTTTCTGTTAAATATGCAGATAAGCTTCTCTTATAAGCTTCTTGCAGAACCTACTGCATTTATATCACCAAGTTGGTTGATAAGCCAACCATTGCTAGCATTGATTGCAGACTATAGATTATTATGTATAAAGGCAGCAATGGCTAACAATACATTTGGAATTTAGGGTTTTTTTTAGCTTTTATTTTCAAAATCTTCCTGCATTTTTTTTCATTGATTATGCAGTGTTTCATTACATCTGACAAACCATCCTTGGAAAAAACTTTAAAAATATACAAAACAAATGTAGGAAATCAATACAAATACGTAAGATAAACTGACTTTTTGCTAGGAGGTATCTTCAACAATTTGTAGCAACAACAACAACTACAAGAAGACTTTAGTAAGGTCTTAGCAAACAGTTACTTCCAATTATAGTATCAGCGTAACAAAATCACAAACAGCTATTCTACTATAGTAGAACTGATTTTGAACATAGACTTTGGGTCAATAAAGCATGTGGAATATCTGTCACAGTGGTGGTGATGGTGATAGTCTATAAATTGAAAATTGCTCATCTGAATCTTATTGATATGTCAGTAGTATCTTGTACATGGGAAACTATTTTTCCAGGAACCAGAGATATAGCCTAGGTTCATTTTTTTTCTAAAGATTTTTTCATAGTATATTATATGTATAGTACTTACAAAATTGATTGGCATGTTTAGTTAAGCACTTAAAACTCAGGACTAGAGCGTGGCAAAGATATGAGTGAAAATAATCTTCCTGGAAACATTATCTAAAACTTCCTATGATTCTAGGTTGAGAGACAGCTTTTAAAATGAAGCATTTTAAAAACTATATCACTTTCTTCCTATTAAATATTTCATACAGTTTAACAAATATGTTTATTTTGCACTCCAAAATTTACTTAAGTATTCATGTATTTGTTGATTTGCAAAACTCCCTTAATTTTTATTAGCAAAATTTAGAACAGCCTTCTAAAACCTGACATTTTTCAGGAAATTGGAGTCAGAGTGTATTTGTTGGGAAGGCTTGATTAAATGGAGAAAAGGTATTGTACAATGTGATCTGTGGTTGGTTTTCTTAAATTGATTGGTGAGTCTTGATTCATGAGCTGAAATGTTTTCTGGAAGAAGAAAAATGGAAGAAAAGGGAAGCAATGCAAAGACAAAACAAAACAAGAAAGAAAAAGAAGAAAAAAAGCTGACTAGTTCAAATTAAAGTAATAGATTGGTGATAGCTTTTTTCTTTTCTTTTAGTTTTCTTATTGTGTCCTTTGGTCCTGAGCTTTCAAATTATAATAACAATCTTTCAGAAGAAAATGACCACTGTAAGCTTCTTAATCTCTAGCTTCATTTGTAAAAGATGCTTTTATCTGAAGGTTATTTTGTAATCTGTCTTTTAAGAGCCTTACATTACAACTTAGGTTTTGTTGGATTTGCATTTTCAAAATTGTGATAAAATGGTTCTTTTCCCTTATATAAATTGCACTTTAATTTAGAAGATTTTATTTATTTTGTTTTTGGTCTTTCCTGTTTAGATCTAGTTCAGGGTACTCTTCTTCTGCGCAATATTAGCTCTTTGTCATCAGGACGTTACCAATGTATGGCATCCAATATCATTGGAAGCAGCACCTGTTCTCTTGAAGTTCAAGTGATTACACGTGAGTTAGATATAGTATATAGAACGTTGTCTTGTATTAATATCAGTGCAGCTTTATAAATCTGTCTATATTAATATTGCAGAATTTCAGGTAATAATCCTTTCCATTGCCTTTTTTTAACATTAGAAAAACCATCAAACCTTATACTTGTTACCAGCCATGTGTGAAAAGCTGGCATTGTATAGAATGCCTATGAAATTTACAAAATGTGTGAGGTTTTTAGGCACACTATGTAATCTCTGTGTTATTTTAATATACTGTATACTTTCCCTAGGCATTGTATACAATACCTAGGCATTATGCAAAAGGACAAGAACTATTCAAAGTATGAAAATGTTGAAAACCCTAACTCTTTATTGAGAAGACATATATGAAAATGAAAAAAGAAATGCAAAATAAAGGATTTTCTTACTGTAAAAAACAAGAGGAAAAGACCAGTATTGACCAACTTGTTGCAGCAAGGCAGGCTAGAATGGTATTTCAGCGGGAGTATTTTATGCTTTGCTGGTTTGCCTTTTGGCATTGCATAGAATGTCTGGGAAATGTGTAAAATATTAAGTATTTATATATTATTACGGTCTACCAAATATAAATCAGTCTGTTCTGCATTTCGCTCCAATCTAGGAGCATGTTTTGCAGGCAGACCTCACATACTGTGAACACTATAAATTCAAAATTTTGTGGCTGACAAAGAGTCAGTGGGAGACTAGTATAGCTATTTCAGGCTCATTAGCCCTCATCAGCTAGTCACACCCTTCAGGGATTCGAACCTGGGCAGCTTGCATGTTAGGCAGCTATATTACCCTTTTGAGCCACAGGTTCCCCCTTATTCCTGTCAGCAGAAACCAGGGAGGATATATATCTTATCTGTTGGGTGAGGCACCCGGTCTACCAAATATATACGCACACACAAACACAAAATACATTAACTTACATTTATCCAATATGATTTTTAATATGAATGTCTCTTATGTTCATTAAAAAAACTTTATGCACTCTTTTGTATAGTCTTTCCCAAATATAAGTTTTTGTTTGGGGTTCTTGCTATAATTAAATAGATTTTTTTTCCTGTTTTTTTGCCTAAGTGATGGATGCTACTGCTATCTGCTGCTGCCTATATTACTGAAAAGCCTATTTTGGTAGATTCTACCAATTCATAGAAATTCTGCAGCAAATTTCTTTAATCCCTAACCTTGCTTGTTCTGATCATCTTTGACCTTTCTTACAGGAAGGTCAGCATTAGAGAAAGGTTTTCTCTCACTACACCAGACATTTAGAGCAAATGAATTATTATGTGGCTGAATGATAATTGAATTTTCTTGTACAATTTTAGTTTTTTCTACAAACAGCTATAAGTGATTTAGTTTTTCAAGGAAGGTCTATTTTCTGCACACATCTCAAGTCTAAATTGCATCTTACAGCTGTTATTATAGAAAGAGAAACATAATAACTGTACCACCAAGGCAATATTATTGGGATGTTGAATTGTAACTGCAGCACAGTAGAAAAGTGTAAATTCTCATTTCTGTATTTTATCTCCAACCCATA